TGCAGCAGAAGTAACTCTGGGTCTTCCTTTCCTGTGGCGGTCCTCATGAGAGCCAGTTTCATCATAGCGCTTGATGGTTTTTGCGACTGCACTTGAAGAAACTTTCAAAGTTCTTGAAATGTTCTGTATTGACCGACCTTCATGTCTTAAAGTAATGATGTACTGTCATTTCTCTTTGCTTTTTTGAGCTGTTCTTGCCATAATATGGACTTGGTCTTTTACCAAATAGGGCTATCTTCTGTATACCCCAGGGAAGAAATTCCACAAATTAACTTTTAACAAGGCACACCTGTTAATTGAAATGCATTCCAGGTGACTACTTTCACCCCAAAGATAGAGCTGCATTTGTGACTGGCTAGTTCATTTACATTTTACATTTAAGTCATTTAGCAGACACTCTTATCCAGAGAGACTTACAGTTAGTGCATACATTATATATTTTTCCCCCTGTGGGAATCGAACCCACAACCCTGGCGTTGCAAACGCCATGCTCTATCAACTGAGCTACATCCCTGCCGGCCTTTCCCTCCCCTACCCTGGACGACGCTGGGCCAATTGCGCGCCACCCCATGGGTCTCCCGGTCGCGGCCGGCTACGACAGAGCCTGGATAGTTCCTCTGTGTGGAGGCTAGAGGCACTGCAGCCTGTTGTGTTGACCTTAACCATCCACACAGCTTGCCACCCACCCAGACAGACAGACAGACAGACAGACAGTTGGGTGAAGTGGGTGTGAAGGTAATCACTTATCATGGGGACATGGGGTCAACATCTGGAGACCACAGACTATGAACCATGGTTACTCACACACACACACACACTGCCTAGGGGGTAGTGAGGGAACAGGGGTGGATATGGAACTGAGCATCAGTCTGCTATGGAGCAGGATATTCAGACAGCTGATGGTTCAGTAGTCCTTATTAACGCATTCATATTGATCTGGTTAATTAATAATCCTGCCCTGCAGTCCTAATGAAGCCTGCCTCACTCTCTACTGTCCACTGGAGGATAAGCAGTAACATTTAGAATCTGTATCGCAAATGCCGTTGAGATAATAAACTAAATATGAGGGTTTGACTGAGTGGGCTGTCTACACACACACACACACACACACACACACACACACACACACACACACACACACACACACACACACACACACACACACACACACACACACACACACACACACACCACACCACACACACACACACACACACACACACACACACACACACACACACACACACACACACACACACACACACACACAGATAATAGACAAATGACCCAGAGAGAGACCAGTAGGAGGTAAATTAAATGTTTTTATCACCAGCTTTGTAGAGAAATCACATAATGACATCAAAGAATGCAATTAGACGATTAGAAGGTTTGACATTTCATACACACAGCCAGACAGTGAGAGGGATGGGCTAGAACACACGGTATCAGGCCTAGAACCAGTCACAGAGAGGGATAGGACACTGATGATGTCATACAGGGAACCAGGACACTGATGATGTCATACAGGACACCAGGACACGGATGCTGTCATACAGAGAACCAGGACACTGATGATGTCATACAGGGAACCAGGACACTGATGATGTCATACAGGACACCAGGACACAGATGATGTCATACAGGGAACCAGGACACTGATGATGTCATACAGGACACCAGGACACTGATGATGTCATACAGGGAACCAGGACACTGATGATGTCATACAGGACACCAGGACACAGATGATGTCATACAGGGAACCAGGACACTGATGATGTCATACAGGACACCAGGACACAGATGATGTCATACAGGGAACCAGGACACTGATGATGTCATACAGGACACCAGGACACGGATTATGTCATACAGGGAACCAGGACACTGATGATGTCATACAGGGAACCAGGACACTGGACACCAGGGAGCAGCTGGTTCCAGTTGGTTCCTGTAGTTCCGTTCACGAGTTTTCAGTCAGAACCAACTTCTACTATACTTCTTCGAAAATGTTGAGATCTTTTTTGACATCATCGTCCAATCCCTACTCGTCAGATTCTAGTTACAACCAGGCCTCTGAGCAAAAGTTACTTTGAGGTGAATCAAGTGCAAAAATAAGAAACGCTTTGGGGCCTTGGGGTAGGGGTTAAAGTTTAGTGCCATTGTAGGATATAAACTAAGTTAAGCTAAGGGATAGATGGGATATCAGAGGAGTACAGCAATAACAACATTACAGAACAGAACATCTAGATAGATAGCCTAGTTAGAGATGGATGGGCACAGTTCACAGTCTGCCATTTTAAGACTCACACATACACAAATGGTGTTAGAAAGCTAACTGTAGCATCATGGATGTTAGCACGATTGTTTGTTTAGCCTCAGAGGCTGGCCTGCAGGAAACAGAGCTCAGTCATTGGCCCAGGAAGGTGTCAAAATGAAATCAAAGTTTATTCGGTCGCGTACACATTTTTGCAGATGTTATCGCTGGTGCAGCGAAACGCTTGTGTTTCTAGCTCCAACAGTGCAGCAATAAAGTAACAATACACACATAATTAAAAAAATATATTAAAAAAGAAAGAAATTAAGACATCCAATCCAAGAATGGCCAATGAGGTTGCAGCTCTAGTTAATGCCAAACGAACCAGGCAGGGGGGGACAGCGGGAGACGGGGACAGGGAATGAACCAGGCAGGGGGGGACAGCGGGAGACGGGGACAGGGAATGAACCAGGCAGGGGGGGACAGCGGGAGACGGGGACAGGGAATGAACCAGGCAGGGGGGGACAGCGGGAGACGGGGACAGGGAATGAACCAGGCAGGGGGGGACAGCGGGAGACGGGGACAGGGAATGAACCAGGCAGGGGGGGACAGCGGGAGACGGGGACAGGGAATGAACCAGGCAGGGGGGGACAGCGGGAGACGGGGACAGGGGACCAGTGTCATGGTCACACAGGCACTTGAAAAATGTCAAAACACCACGACTTAAATTAAGGCAAGATGGACTACACTCACGATGTACGCACGTCTTTAGGGACAACACAGTGATGATCCACCACTCAACGTACGACCGACCGTACAGTACGCTTCGGAACAGATGAGCTTACAGGTTGATTCTCTTATCTACTCAGAGCAGTAATTCTGTTCATCTATAGATCTAGATATTTATGTTATTTCACTCACATTTTATTTTCTTCCACTGTTGTCTTGTTATTTTTTGTGTGTCCTAAATCAAAAGTAGAGGGATCTTTATTAGTGGATAGAAATCTGTTCCATACATATTTGTTAGGCAAAGAGAAGAATATCTGCTGAAAATACTGTGAAACTGGACTTATTCAGTATCATGGGAAAATTAGCCATAGATAGAAGCAAGCTCAACACCCTCTGAAAGTAACCGCACCTTCTACTTTACTTTGGGGTGATGTCCCCTAATCTTTTGAATGGGCTTGATGATTATATCATAACATTTTAGAAAAACGCGATCATTTAAGATGCATATAAAATTATATTTGTGTTTGTGGATGAATTTACTTACACTTTACTTTTATTAAGTATTTGGCATGAAGACCATTGCCTTATGTTTTTGCACATTGAAGACCATTCAAAAAAAACAAAAATTATGTGCCACTTTCATAGGGTATGCTCTGGCTTCAGCAGAAATACATGGGCTAATCAATACCATAAGTTTAAATATAGGCAGTGTTTATTTAGCTGACTAATGGGTAGGTGGCTAAATAAACACTGCCTTAAATATTTATATGATAAATCAAGTAGAGCATCTCAATATGTAGCAATGAGAGCATTTAAATAGAATGGTTCCAAATAAGGTATTTCCATAAACACACACAGAGAGACACACGCACACACACACAGAGAGACACACGCACACACACACACACAGGTTGTGTGAAATAATGGATGGAGCTCTACCTACTGATATCATAGACGAGAGAAGAATATGATATTTTTGTATTACTGTGGTAATATTCTTAGTATTTTGTTTAGTTCAGTATTCTTAAAAATGGTCCCAGACAATAAAAGGATGGGCTCTTAATGGGTATCTTCAACACAAAGTTTAGGACTATCATCGAGGATCGAACCTCATTGTAATCTATGGCAAAAATTAAATGAAATGCATAATATTTCAAATATACTCATAGGAGATTAGACGTAAATCATCTAAATCGGGAGAATACATTCAAATGCGTCCATTCTCTTTACAAGGAATACTATGACTGTTGCGAGCAGGCGTAATGGAGACACAACATCTCTGGATGCAGGATTCTGGATACATTAATCACGCAGGTATTCTGACAATATTATGACGTTGCTAAACTGTTACTATGACGTTACTAAACTTAATCTTAGAGCTGGTTACAGCTTCTATGACATTAGAGATCAGATTAGTCAGCACCTAAAATCAGCATAGGTAATTAACACACACACACACTCACACACACACACAGAAATGAGTCTCCTGACTATGCTCAAACAATCAATGCAGATTTGTGAATGTATTGGCAATTTCTTGAATGATAACGGTCATCGGGAAAGCTACTGTTTGTCTCTTTTAATAACTCTGATTTAGTTGTCATCCTTCATTGGTTTGAGTCTGAATCACAGAGTTTTTTTGGCTGGGGATTCTCTCTCTCTCGCTCTCTCTCTCATCTTCCATCACAACTCTAAGGTGTCAAAGAGCAATCTTAGCAGAACAGACCATATTAGTGTGAGCTGGTTTCGAGAGATGCTCTGTCGGGACACTGTGTCGAGGATGGAGGTTTTTAGAACAATGGATGGTACAGTAGTGAATGACAGAACTGTCTTTACCAAGGCCTATGACACAGAGTGGCTACGTCTCACATGGCACCGTGTTCCCTATATAGTGCATCACTTTAGACCCTATGTGGTCAAAAGAAGTGCACTGTAAAGGGAATAGGGTACCGTTGGAGAATTGCCCTCTGGAGATGCAGGACAGAAGGATGAGGGAGGTGGGAGGGGTTTTGGTTTAGCTCCGGGTGAGAAGCCCCTTCTGATAGGCCAACATGCCTGCTGCCGTGGCAACGGACAGGACAGAGGCTATGCCCAGGAAGTTGATGAACCCGCCCACAGATGGAAGGTTTCGCTCCCAGAAGGTGGTGACGAACGGGAGTGCTGGGACTTCCTGTTAGAGAGAGCGAGAGAGAGAGGGAGAGAGGAGATGGGGGGAGAGATTTAGGGGGGCACTAAGTTAGGTCTACGTTCTCTAATGTTCTTTAGATACTTTACATTTTGATCCAAATGAGTTTGGTATGTGACTTATTAAGTATCTATTGTTTTGGGTTGCATTGAATCCTTACCACTGACTCAGGCTCTGTTTGCCAGACCTGACTCTGAGGAATATTGCCCATTTCACACATGACCTGGAACAACAATGATTTCATTTACAATACTAAAACAATACACAAGACCATGTGTACCACAATTTCTTTGTAACTTATGTACATGTTTTTTATTTATTTTTTTTGGGGGGGGGGGGGGGGGGGCGGAGGGGTATATGAATAAATATATGTATTATTATTATTATTATTATTATTATTATTACTTGTATTATTATTATTATACTGTGAAGGCTCTCACCTCTCTGGCGGCCCTCTCCCCAGCCTGTACAGCCCCCTCCATGTAGCCACTCCACTCAGTAGCTGTCTCTGTTCCTGCAAAGTACAGTCTGCCTACTGGCTCCCTGAGAACCCTACACAAATAGGGAGGGAGGAGGAGAGGAGGGAGGAGGGGAGGAGGGAGATGGAGGGATAGGGAGAAGATGGGAGGATTGGATTAGGGAGTGAGGAGGTGAGTAGGTGAGGAGGGAGGAGTGATTGCAGGAGGGGGCTGTGCGGAGGGGAAGGTGGGGGAGGATGGAGGATGCGAGGAGGGGAGGAGGTGAGTGGGAGAGGAGGGGGGGAGGGGGAGGAGGAGGGAGAGGGGGAGGTGAGGGGGGAGGGGATGGGAAAGGGAGGAGGGAGGAGGGAGGAGGGGTTGTGAGGAGGGAGGAGGGGAGGATGGTGAGGGAGGAGTGGAGGTGATGGGAGTGGGAGGCGGTGAGGAGGAGGGAGGAGGAGGAGGAGAGATGGGACGGTAGGTTATATAAAGGTTAGATGGGTTCACACATTTTGTGGTTTTTGGTGTGTGTGTGTTTTGTGTGTGTGTGTTGGTGTGTTGTTGTGTGTGTGTTGTGTGTTGTTGTTCTGTTCTTACTTGCCGTACTGGGTGAGTATCCAGGGGGAAGTAAGCAGTGTAGCAGCCTCCAGAATATTCCTCCTCACACCAGTTTCTTCTCCTTAGTCACTAGCTGGACAAGGGCTGGGTTGTACCCTATAGGCTGGGGTTGTACTCCTATGGCTGGGGTTAGTACTCATATCAGGCTGGGTGTTTAGTTATCATATCAGGTGGGGGTTAGTACTCTATCGGTGGGGGTTAGTACTCATATCAGGCTGGGGTTTTTTAGTATCATATCAGGCTGGGGGTTAGTACTCATATCGGGATGGGGTTTAGTATCATATCAGCTGGGGGTTATAGTTATCATATCAGGCTGGGGGTGTTTTTTCATATCAGGCTGGGGGTTAGTACTCATATCAGGCTGGGGGTTAGTACTCATATCAGGCTGGGGGTTAGTACTCATATCAGGCTGGGGGTTAGTACTCATATCAGGCTGGGGGTTAGTACTCATATCAGGCTGGGTGTTAGTACTCATATCAGGCTGGGGTTAGTACTCATATCAGGCTGGGGGTTAGACTCATATCAGGCTGGGTGTTAGTACTCATATCAGGCTGGGGGTTAGTACTCATATCAGGCTGGGGGTTAGTACTCATATCAGGCTGGGGGTTAGTACTCATATCAGGCTGGGGGTTAGTACTCATCGGGCTGGGGGTTAGTACTCATACAGGGCTGGGGGGTTAGTACTCATATCAGGCTGGGGGGTTAGTACTCATATCAGGCTGGGGGTTAGTACTCATATCAGGCTGGGTGTTAGTACTCATATCAGGCTGGGGGTTAGTACTCATATCAGGCTGGGGGTTAGTACTCATATCGGGCTGGGGGTTAGTACTCATATCAGGCTGGGGGTTAGTACTCATATCAGGCTGGGGGTTAGTACTCATAGTGGGCTGGGGGTTAGTACTCATATCAGGCTGGGTGTTAGTACTCATATCAGGCTGGGGGTTAGTACTCATATTGGGCTGGGGGTTAGTACTCATATCGGGCTGGGGGTTAGTACTCATATCAGGCTGGGGGTTAGTACTCATATCAGGCTGGGGGTTAGTACTCATAGTGGGCTGGGGGTTAGTACTCATATCAGGCTGTGGGTTAGTACTCATATCGGGCTGGGGGTTAGTACTCATATCGGGCTGTGGGTTAGTACTCATATCGGGCTGGGGGTTAGTACTCATATCGGACTGGGGGTTGTTTTACTCCAATGTTTGTAAACAACATAAATGTAAGCAAACACCGTATAGCCTCAAAACATGGTTAAAACTATATAATGGATGGTCAGTCCTTAAATCCATAGCTTTGAATTTGATAGTGGTTATATTTCTCCAGTCCCATCCTTTAGCTTTTTAGCAGAACAGGGGTGGAGAGAAAGCTTTGTTATTGTTTCAATTAAGCATTCTAGTTTTAATCAGCAGTAGTGGTGGTGCTGGTAGTAGTAGTAGCAGTAGCAGCAATAGTAGTAGTAGTAGCAGTAGTAATAGTAGTAGTAGTAGTAGTAGTAGTAGTAGTAGTAGTAGTAGTAGTAGTAGTGGTAGTAGTAGTAGTAGTAGTAGCAGTAGTAGTAGCAGTAGCAGTAATAGTAGTAGTAATAGTAGGAGTAGTAGTAGTAGTAGTAGTAGTAGTAGTAGTAGTAGTAGTAGTAGTAGCAGTAGCAGTAATAGTATTAGTAGTAGTAGTACTATTAGTGGTAGTAGTAGTAGTAGTAGTGGTAGTAGCAGTAGTAGTAGTAGTAGCAGTAATAGTAGTAGTAATAGTAATAGTAGTAGCAGCAATAGTAGTAGTAGTAGTAGTAGTAGTAGTAGTAGTAGTAGTAATAGTAGTAGTAATAGTAATAGTAGGAGTAGTAGTAGTAGTAGTAGTAGTAGTAGTAGTAGTAGTAGTAGTAGTAGTGTAGTAGTAGTAGCAGAGTAATAGTATTAGTAGTAGTAGTACTATTAGTGGTAGTAGTAGTAGTAGTAGTAGTTAGTAGCAGTAGTAGTAGTAGTAGCAGTAATAGTAGTAGTAATAGTAATAGTAGTAGCAGTAATAGTAGTAGTAGTAGTAGTAGTAGTAGTAGTAGTAGTAATAGTAGTAGTAATAGTAGTAGTAGTAGTAGCAGTAATAGTATTAGTAGTAGTAGTACTATTAGTGGTAGTAGTAGTAGTAGTAGTAGTAGTAGTTAGTAGTAGTAGTAGTAGTGGTAGCAGTAGCATGAATAGTCGTAGTAGTAATAGTAGTAATAGTAGTAGTAGGGTGGCAGGTAGCTTAGTGGTTAAGAGCGTAGTGCCAGTAACCGAAATGTCGCTGGTTCTAATCCCAGAGCCGGCTAGGTGAAAAATCTGTCGATGTGCCCTTGAGCAAGGCACTTAATCCTAATTGCTCCTGTAAGTTGCTCTGGATAAGAGCGTCTGCTAAATGACTCAATTTTTATTTAAATTTAGTAGTAGTAGTAGTAGTAGTAGTAGTAGTAGTAGTAGTAGTAGTAGTAGTAGTAGTAGTAGTAGTAGTAGTAGTAGTAGTAGTAGTAGTAGTAGTAGTAGTAGTAGTAGTAGTAGTAGTAGTAGTAGTGCATTGTTAGAAAAAATAGTTCCAAAAGGGTTTTTCGGCTATTCCCATAGGAGAACCCTTTTTGGTTCCATGTAGAACCCTTTTTGGTTCCAGGTAGAACCCTTTTGGGTTCCAGGTGTAACTCTTTTGGGTTCTATGTAGAACTCAAAAGGGTGCTACCTGGAACCAAAAGGGTTCTATGTGGAACCAAAAAAGGTTATTCAAAGGGTTATCTTATGGGGACAGCCGAAGAACCCTTTTAGGTTCTAGATAGCACCTTTTTTTCTAAGAGTGTAGTAGTAGTAATAGTAGTAGCAGCAGTAGTAGTAGTAGTAGTAGTAGCAGTAGTAATAGTAGTAGTAGTAGTATTAGTAGTAGTAGCAGTAGTAATAGTAGTAGTAGTAGTAGTAGTAAGTAGTAGTGGTTCCACTCACATGCAGAGCCTCCTCTGAGCCCAGAACTCTTGAGTAGATCTCACAGATCCTCTTCTTCCTACAGGGGACAACAACCATGTTTAAGGGTTAGGAAGGGATAGGGTTAAACTCCTAATGCTGGTACACATGTGCATGCATACTAGCATAGTATACACATGAGGAAGTGAAGTAAAACACACTGTAGGTACTGAACATGAGAAACAGCCAGACAGATGTTTACCTCTCCTCCTTGGTCAGTCCACATAGCTTCCTGCACTTGCGGGCCAGGATGAAGCTAAGCCATAGGAACAGGAGAAATACAGTTACAGTAATACCACTAAGTAAACCACAGTTTCTCATTCTCTATGGGTAATCATGTTGGGATGCAGGAAACTAAAGTTCTGTGTTTACCCCATAATGGCGGGCACAGTCCCATCAGGCTTCGTGTCATCCAGAGTCAAGCCAATGGGGGCCTCTTCCTCCTCGATCACCATAGTGCCACAGTACCCTGAGAGAGAGGGAAGAGAAAGATACAGGAGAGGAGGAGGACAGGAAGAGAGGAGAGAGATACAGGAGAGGAGGAGGACAGGAAGAGAGAAGAGAGAGGATCAATAGACGGAGAAGAGGAGAGGAGAAGGAGGATCAGGTATGAGGAGGAGAGGAGAGGAGATTATCACTCAAGTTCTCTCTGTAGTACACCACATATTTGATGACAGAGCCCATGGACCCTCCCTCCCTCCCTCCCTTGTTACCTTTCTTCCTCCAGAAGTTTTCTCTGTAGTAGACCATACATTTGATGACAGAGCCCATGGGGACTCTGTGGATCAGCTGGTTTCTGAGCGGGGGCAGCTCGGGGTTAAAGTGCATCTTCAGGTTCAGACCAGGAGGGGTTCGCCACAATCACATACTTGGCCTGGGAGAAACAAAACACAAGAGTTGAGGCCTGGGCACACACTGGTTGAATCGACATTGTTTCCATGTCATTTCAATGAAATTACATTGAACCAACGTGGAATAGACATTGAATTGAGGTCTGTGCCCAGTGGGTAGTGTGTATCTCCCCAGTCCACCCCTGGTGGCTAAGCAGCTCTATGGTACTGTTTAATGGGTTTTATCTGGGTGAAGAGGATGTGGCCTGGACAGAGAGATGAGGACCAGCTTACTGACAACAATCCACTCTGGCTTACACACACACGCACGCGCACAAACACGCGAACACACGCACGCACACACTGTCAAAAGCTATAGGAGTTTACTGACGGGCAAACATGAATGTCTAAGGGGCTCTGTAAGCTCAGTGAGTTGTATGGCTGAATAAATGATTCCTAGATTGTTCCAGGAGTTCTAGAATGCAAATGCACAGTAGTCACAACATGGGCCTCATCATGAGGTGTCACGTATTATGAACAAACAAGCTCTAGATGGCAGCATAGGCACAACCTGAAATCAGTAGGCTCCTGCTCAGTGAATGTGGTCTGACGACATCGTCAACATGTTGATGATGGATTGGAGATGGTTGCTCTCTCACTCACCTTGTATGTTTCCTTGTTGAGCGTCTCGACCTCGACCATGTCCCCTGTCTGGTCGATCTTGTAGACAGGAGACTCCATCTTGACCCGCTCACCCAGCTCTTTGGCCATACACTCACTGATCTGGCTGGAACCGCCCACAAACTTCCTCTCCTGAAATGCAAATACAGTATCATCAGTCATATCAATCAGATACATGCCATGCTAAAAAGACCTGCTCCAGGAGGGCACTGCTCTGCGGCTGACCGTGTGCTGCTTCCAGTCTCTCATCTGTGTGTTGTGTATTGTGTGATGTCCAGAGGGTTGGGAAAAAACACAAGACAGCAAAACAAGCATTTATGTCACAGTGGACAATAAAGTCGCAATGCTAGGACAAATATCAAATTTTACTCCATTCACTATCACTGTAGTACATTACTTTTGACAAGATTCACAGTGTAAGATTTAGTATTCTCTACGGGCTGAGAGTGTGAAAGTGTTTGCATCAGTGCCAGATTTACACCATATGAGTAATAAACTAGCTATTCTGTTCCATCTTCTGCCTCCAGGAAAAATACCTCAAACTCATTGTAAGACAGCCAGACCCCCTGGGACAGCTGATTGATGCTTCTGGGGTCAACTGTAGTTGTACATTTGGGCGGTGGCCCCTTTAAGCTGGCTTTAGGATACTTCAGTACAACAACACGCAGGATGTGGACTGGAACCAGTCAGGCAGGGGGGTGTATTGGACTGGAACCAGTCAGGCAGGGGGGTGTATTGGACTGGAACCAGTCAGGCAGGGGGGTGGATTGGACTGGAACCAGTCAGGCAGGGGGGTAGATTGGACTGGAACCAGTCAGGCAGGGGGGTGGATTGGACTGGAACCAGTCAGGCAGGTGGGTGGATTGGACTGGAACCAGTCAGGCAGGGGGGTGGATTGGACTGGAACCAGTCAGGCAGGGGGGGTGGTATTGGACTGGAACCAGTCAGGCAGGGGGGGTGGATTGGACTGGAACCAGTCAGGCATGGGGGTGTATTGGACTGGAACAAGTCAGGCAGGGGGGTGTATTGGACTGGAACCAGTCAGGCAGGGGGGTGGATTGGACTGGAACCAGTCAGGCAGGGGGGTGGATTGGACTGGAACCAGTCAGGCAGGGGGGTGGATTGGACTGGAACCAGTCAGGCATGGGGGTGTATTGGACTGGAACAAGTCAGGCAGGGGGGGTGTATTGGACTGGAACCAGTCAGGCAGGGGGGTGGATTGGACTGGAACCAGTCAGGCAGGGGGGTGGATTGGACTGGAACCAATCAGGCAGGGGGGTGTATTGGAAAGTGAGAGTGGGTCTTGGCAAGGCCTCATTACAATGTACACAACGCTGAGTCCTGGTTAGTGTAAACTTCCCTCAGCTGACCTTTGTAGACCCATCATTTCTGAAAAATTGACTTGGCTGGAATGTCCCTTCCAATGTGTTCTCCAACTCATAAAATATTTTAGATAAAGTCTCAGTGCCGTTATCATCGCAAGGTCAGGTATTAAAAGGTATAGAAAACAGGGTCAATAACTTTGACCCCTACCTTTTTGAGAAAAATAGTATTATTTTTAAACAAAATCTCTTCTCTGAGCAATTGTATTAGTATACAATAATATAATTTTTGAGCATACAATTTTGCTCAGTATTTGAATTATTTATTTTATACAGTCATTTTTGCTCATCTTTATCAATGGTGCCAATACTTTCAGACCCCACTGTAAATGCAGTACAATCTCATATGCAAGTATGCATTGCAATCGACCTCAAAAGGGCAAAGCACACGCTTGAGAGCTAATGCTCATATATCAACTCATGACAAACTTTAGCGTCCACATGTTTTTCTATTGCTCTACCTGGTAAAGCAACACATTGAATCAATACATTACATACATTGAGTCTGGACTCAGATCTTGGACACAGAACTGGAGCTTCTGTCAACACCGGAGCCGGAGAGCAGGCAGACCAAACAGGAAATGAAAGTGGACGACCTCACAACAACATCCTCTAATTACCCCAAAGTCCCAATCCGCCGTCACCTAGGCAATGGGGCCACTCAGCATTCCAAAGTAAACAAGAAGAATGGTCTCTCCCTGGGCTCTGAATAACAGCCATGTGGAGGGATGGATTATGCCACTAAATGAAGGAGCAGGGAACGACCAGGAACAGCCATGTGGAGGGACGGATTATGTCTCTAAATGAGAGAGCAGGGAACGACCAGGAACAGACATGTGGAGGGAGGGATTATGTCTCTAAATGAAGGAGCAGGGAACGACCAGGAACAGACATGTGGAGAGACGGATTATGTTCCTAAATGAGAGAGCAGGGAACGACCAGGAACAGACATGTGGAGGGAGGGATTATGTTCCTAAATGAAGGAGCAGGGAACGACCAGGAACAGACATGTGGAGAACGGATTATGTTCCTAAATGAGGAGAGCAGGGAAACGACCGAACAGACATGGGGAGGGAGGGATATTTTCCTAAATGAAGGAGCGGGAACGACCAGGAACGAATGTGGAGGGACGGTTATGCCTCAAAATTTGGGGCAGCAGGGAACGACCAGAACAGACATGTGGAGGGACGGATTATGTTCCTAAATGAGAGAGCAGGGAACGACCAGGAACAGACATGTGGAGAGACGGATTATGTTCCTAAATGAGAGAGCAGGGAACGACCAGGAACAGACATGTGGAGAGACGGATTATGCCTCTAAATGAGGCAGCAGGGAACGACCAGGAACAGACATGTGGAGAGACGGATTATGTTCCTAAATGAAGGAGCAGGGAACGACCAGGAACAGACATGTGGAGGGACGGATTATGCCACTAAATGAGGGAGCAGGGAACTAAAAAGGCTAATTTGGAGGGTTTTGTGAAGGATGGACCAGAGGTTAATGTTAGTTACAATCTAAGTAGGATCCAAATGAGAATGTAATCGTTGTGGAATGTTTTGTGCTAACATGGAGGATAGTTTATTGAGCTCAGTTCAAAGGCTCCTGGGTCAGCTCAGCAAACCTAGAACCAAAGCCAAAAATACGGCTTACCTTATTTTCAGGGAAGTTAGGAACCAATATACACAAGCAGTTAGGAAAGCAAAGGCTAGCTTTTTCAAACAGAAATTTGCATCCTGTAGCACTAACTCCAAAAAAGTTTTGGGACACTGTAAAGTCCATGGAGAATAAGAGCACCTCCTCCCAGCTGCCCACTGCACTGAGGCTAGGAAACACTACCACCACCGATAAATCTACAATAATCGAGAATTTCAACAAGCATTTTTCTACGGCTGGCCATGCTTTCCACCTGGCTACCACTACCCCGGCCACCAGCTCTGCACCCTCTACTGCAACTTGCCCAGTTGTATTTTTGACTTTATGTTTTTGTTTTACCCCATATGTAACTCTGTGTTGTTGTTTTTATCGCACTGCTTTGCTTTAACTTGGCCAGGTCGCAGCTCTAAATGAGAACTTGTTCTCAACTGGCTTACCTGGTTAAATAAAGGTTAAAATAAATAAATATGTCATTGCAAACTTCTCCTCATTCTGATTTCTGAGAGCCATGCTAGGACCCCGTATAGATATGAAAGAGCCAGTCCCCAGGGTTAGAGAGACAGCCAGACAGGCAGACAGACAGTCAGTCAGCCAGAAAGACAGACAGTCAGTCAGTCAGCCAGAAAGACAGACAGTCAGTCAGACAGGCAGACAGACAGTCAGCCAGCCAGACAGGCAGCCAGCCAGGTGTGTACAGTACCTGTCCTCCATTGGTGGTGGAGAAGATCCTCATGGTCCCTCCGCACTGCTTGACGTACCAGAGGAACCACAGGGCAGACACCTCGTGGGGTTCAGAGGTCACATTCACGTTCACAAACAGAGTGGCGAACCGCCTCGCAGAACTGTGGGGAGAGGGGGTTGCACAGACACACACACACACACACACACACACACACACACACACACACACACACACACACACATACACTCACACGTAAGAACTCAATTACAATGACTATGACCAATTTTACATTACTAAATCATGCTGCATTGGGTTGAATGGTCCTGAGTGTATTGTAAAACGAGTGTAGTGCATCACCTGGTCCAGCAGATCTTCTCAAAGAGTTGCTTCATGGTCATCTTGTCCCACTCCTCAGCATGGGGAGCCCTCCAGGGAGCCTCTCTGGGGATCTAGAACAAACACACACTATGAGGGTGGGAGCATCAAGCAGTGTCAGAAGTAGGGGTTGATTGGTCAAGGGGTTGTGGAGGGGATGGCTGCCCGGCATAGAGAGGCGATAAAGGGCTGAGTGGAAATAGAGAGGGGAGAGAGAAGGGAGACGAGAAAAGCTCGTGAGAAGAGGAGAGAGGAGACGATCGCAGAGAGAGAGCCCACAGCGAGAGAGAAGACAGGAGGAGAGGACGAAGCAGAGAGGAACCGAGAGAGGAGAGAGAGGGACCAGCGGAGGAGGGAGAAGAGGAGAGAAGAGGAGAGAGGAGGAAGAGAGAGACGAGAGAGAGAGAATGGAGAGTGAGAGGAGAGAGAGGAGATGAATGGAGAGAGGAGAGAGAGAGAGAGGGGGAGAGAGAGAGAGAGGGGAGAGAGAGACCTCGTGCCCATCGTACACTTTCCCACAGGTTTTGGACAGGGGAAATCACATGGGGGGAAGTGGAAGGAGCCGTAGAAGGGATTAGGGTCCCAAAACAGCGAGGGAAGGCCCAGGGGAAAAACAGTAAGGAAAACCCCAGCAGTTTTCCCAAAAGGTGTAAATTTTTCCCATTGGGGGGAAAACCTCCGGGGGCCTCAATCTGAAAAACCAAACCTTGGGGTGGGTAAACAGTTTCAAAATGGGGGGGCCCGGGGGTGGGGGGGGGCCCCGGGCAAAAAAAAAAAGGGGGGGAAAAAAAAAGAAACAAACCCAAAAAACCCAAAAGGAAAAAAGGGGGTAAAATAACCACGGGGGGGGAGAGGGAAAAAAAGAAGGATACGGCCGAAAAAAACCCCAGGGGGGGGGGAAAAAGAGGGAGGGGGGAGGGGAAAAGGGGGAAAAAACGGGGGAAAGGGGGGAAAATAGGGGGGGGGAAAAAGGGGGGGGGGGCCCGGGGGAGGAAAAAGGGGGGAAAAAGGGGGAGGGGGGGGGAAGGGGGGAAGGGAGGGGAAAAAGGGGAGGGGGGTTTTTGGGGGGGAAAAAAAAAGGGGAGAGAGAGTGTTTACCTCGCTGCCCATCTCGTCCATCTTCCTCCACAGGTTGTTGTAGTCCATCAGGGCGAATGGGTTCCACATGGGGGGAAAGGAGCCTGTGAACGGGTAGGACTTCCCCTGTACGACACAACGTGGGACAACATAATGTTGTGGAAAATTAGATCCAAAGATTAAGGCAGATTACTATTTAATTGTATAATAGAACAAACTTTAATCAAGCAGCTGCAGTGGAGATCTATCTCTTCACAGGGAAGAACTCAAAGAGTGAATAGTTACATGTCCCTTATACAGTGAAGGAAAAAAGTATTTGATCCCCTGCTGATTTTCTACGTGTGCCCACTGACAAAGAAATTATCAGTCTATAGTTTTAATGGTAGGTTTATTTGAACAGTGAGAGACAGAATAACAACAAAAAAATCCAGAAAAACGCATGTCAAAAATGTTATAAATTGATTTGCATTTTAATGAGGGAAATAAGTATTTGACCCCCTCTCAATCAGAAAGATTTATGGCTCCCAGGTGTCTTTATACAGGTAACAAGCTGAGATTAGGAGCACACTCTTAAAGGGAGTGCTCCTAATCTCAGCTTGTTACCTGTATAAAAGACACCTGTCCACAGAAGCAATCAATCAATCAGATTACAAACTCTCCACCATGGCCAAGACCAAAGAGCTCTCAAAGGATGTCAGGGACAAGATTGTAGACCTACACAAGGCTGGAATGGGCTACAAGACCATCGCCAAGCAGCTTGGTGAGAAGGTGACAACAGTTGGTGCGATTATTCGCAAATGGAAGAAACACAAAAGAACTGTCAATCTCCCTCGGCCTGGGGCTCCATGCAAGATCTCACCTCGTGGAGTTGCAATGATCATGAGAACGGTGAGGAATCAGCCCAGAACTACACTCAATGATCTCAAGGCAGCTGGGACCGTAGTCACCAAGAAAACAATTGGTAACACACTACGCCGTGAAGGACTGAAATCCTGCAGCGCCCGCAAGGTCCCCCTGCTCAACAAAGCACATATACAGGCACGTCTGAAGTTTGCCAATGAACATCTGAATGATTCAGAGGAGAACTGGGTGAAAGTGTTGTGGTCAGATGAGACCAAAATCGAGCTCTTTGGCATCAACTCAACTCGCCATGTTGGGAGGAGGAGGAATGCCTATGACCCCAAGAACACCATCCCCACCGTCAAACATGGAAGTGGAAACATTATGCTTTGGGGGTGTTTTTCTGCTAAGGGGACAGGACAACTTCACCGCATCAAAGGGACGATGGACGGGGCAATGTACCGTCAAATCTTGGGTGAGAACCAACTTCCCTCAGCCAGGGCATTGAAAATGGGTCGTGGATGGGTATTCCAGCATGACAATGACCCAAAACACACGGCCAAGGCAGCAAAGGAGTGGCTCAAGAAGAAGCACATTAAGGTCCTGGAGTGGCCTAGCCAGTCTCCAGACCTTAATCCCATAGAAAATCTGTGGAGGGAGCTGAAGGTTCAAGTTGCCAAATGTCAGGCTCGAAACCTTAATGACTTGGAGAAGATCTGCAAAGAGGAGTGGGACAAAATCCCTCCTGAGATGTGTGCAAACCTGGTGGCCAACTACAAGAAACGTCTGACCTCTATGATTGCCAACAAGGGTTTTGCCACCAAGTACTAAGTCATGTTTTGCAGAGGGGTCAAATACTTATTTCCCTCATTAAAATGCAAAACAATTTATAACATTTTTGACATGCGTTTTTCTGGATAATTTTTTTGTTATTCTGTCTCTCACTGTTCAAATAAACCTACCATTAAAATTATAGACTGATCATTTCTTTGTCAGTGGGCAAACGTACAAAATCAGCATGGGATCAAATACTTTTTTTCCCCTCACTGTATAGTGAGAGGTAATAATACAATCATATTGTTTACACAACAGTTATTTCATACAAGCAGCAGTTCCAGAACACAACGGCCTTGTGTCAGGGCTCAGACATCCCAGGAGTCTATGAAAGGCATAACATCACAGTCCAACACAGAACACATCCCTTAAGAAGTTACAACAGCTCACCCCGAATTCTGCCACCACAACATGGAAGGGTTAGTTATCGTCATCTTCCATCATTCATCATCATTTTCATAATCACTAACACCATCATCCTCCTAATCATCAGTAGCAGCAGTAACCTCGGCTATTTATTGCGAGCAGCGTATACAAGCCTGGGACATCAACGATACAAAGTCGGCCTTAGTGGGAGTGTAGAATTCTATATTTGTCATCATTTAATTTTAGCGAAGGCCAAGTCTGACGCGTTGGTCCACCAGACTCTTTGAGCTTTTAGGTGGAAGTGACTTGGAACGTAATCACATCTGCAGTAACAGCATCCCCTTCATCGTCATCAACTATACATTGAAGACTCCTAATAGTGAACTAAGAATGCAATCTTTTGCAAACGTCTCAGTTCATCTGACATTTCCGGTCAAGTCTACCTTTTGAACTGAACTAGACATTGATCTCCTGCCTGCTCCCTGACAGAGGGAGCCGTGTAGCTAGCTCCCATGGAGGATGACCAGCATACGCCAGCTTGCTTAATGTTTCACCGCAGATCATAGATAGCAGCTGATTGCAAGTTCAGCAAAGCAGATTAGATTCTCTCCTCTCTCACGCTCACACTATTTCTCAACCCCTACAGGGTTCTAAATGGGGTCACTGGTAGTGGGAGGTGTCAAAGGTATCAAGTTCATGTCATACCCCCCTCCCTACTAGCCTGGCATCCAACTGATTTCCCTACGTTTGACTGTTGTTGAAGTGAATGGTGAGTGCAGAACTCAGTGTGGTTTATCCAGGCTAGCTTTGCACTGGTAATCTTGTAGGATGTCACATCCTGGAAGCCTGTCACTGACACCTTCACTGTGAATGAAAAAGCTGTATTTGGAGTTAAGAATCCTAAGGGCTCTATTCAATCCGTATCGTGGAAGTTCAGCGTTACAGCGTGATTGTGATGAGTGTGATGGAAAGGAGTCAGGCGCAGGAGGGTAATCCAATACAGAATACAGAGTTTATTCCCTTCGTAGACACACAAATGCGCTCAAATAGCACTCAACGAAACAGGCACAGGTGAAACTATCATCCCAGGCAAATACACTGTAATGGATATCCAAGAATACATAGGCACAGGGGAAAATCTACCCTGGCAACAATAGGTACGAGTAGCTCCACCAAGCTCCACTACTCTCACAAATAACAATCACCCACAAGGACAAGGGGGCAGAGGGAACACTTATACACAGACTAATTAGGGGATAGGAACCAGGTGTGTGTGATTGACAAGACAAGACAATTGTGATGATGATTGGGGCGGCAGTGGTTAGTAAGCCCGTGACGACGAACGCCGAAGCCTGCCCGAACAAGGAGGGGAGGCAGCCTCGGCCAAAGTCGTGACAGTGATTGAAATGTAAAAGGCAATGTTCCCGCTTTAGCGGAGACTGCATTCACGGTAAACGCTGCATATGTCGGCTCATTCTGAAATTACCTTTACATTTTATCACGCTTCAGCGATACAGATTGAATAGTACTTTATCTGTGCTTTATTTCCAAGGGGGCGTGTGGCTTTAGCAAATGGGCTGGGAAAGCCATATCAGTGCATTTAACTGCAAGTGCACTGGGGGATAATGTGTGTGTGTGTGTGTGTTACTCTTACATAACTGGTGTAAAGTACCTAGGTTGACAGTTAAATGGGTCGGTCTGAAGGTCCTGACTGGGGTTATTTCATACCCTGGATGACAGATGTGTCACACGCACACACCTACATGCATGCACGCACACACGCATGCACGCACCCACATGCACACACGCATGCACGCACCTACACACACACACACACACGCACGCACGCACGCACGCACGCACGCACACACACACATACACACAGTCACAGACGCATGCATGCAAGACAGCGCATATACTGTATATAGTGAATGTGTGTGAGAGAGAGAGAGAGTGAGTGAGAGAGAGAGAAGGAGGGAAGGAGAGACAGAGTGTCTGAAAACGCATTAGCCACAGTGCTGAGGATTGCCCGGCGCTGTGGAGAGCAACATGTCTGTCACCATGGAAACGGAGGAAAGAGGAGAGGAGGAGGAAAGAGGAGGAGGAGGAGGATGCATCACAGCATCTGTTGGGAATTTGCTACAGAGCAGAAAGTGAACCTCGCAGAATGGAAACCACAAGGGAAGGGTAAGGGGGATATCTAGTCAGTTGTACAACTGAATGCATTCAACCGAAATATGTCTTCCGCATTTAACCCAACCCGTCTGAATCAATGAGGTGCGGGGAGCTGCCTTAATAATATATGCAGTACAGTACATTGTTGTGTTATGTTAAAGTATACTTTTAAACAGGTGTGGTAGTTTTAAACAGGCGTGGTAGCTTTAAACAGGCGTGGTAGCTTTAAACAGGCGTGGTAGCTTTAAACAGGCGTGGTAGTTTTAAACAGGCATGGTAGCTTTAAACAGGCGTGGTAGCTTTAAACAGGCGTGGTAGTTTTAAACAGGCGTGGTAGCTTTAAACAGGCGTGGTAGTTTAAACAGGCGTGGTAGCTTTAAACAGGCGTGGTAGCTTTAAACAGGCGTGGGTAGCTTTAAAACAGGCGTGGTAGCTTTTTAAACAGGCGTGGTAGCTTTAAACAGGCATGGTAGTTTTAAACAGGCGTGGTAGTTTTAAACAGGCGTTGGTAGTTTTAAACAGGCGTGGTAGCTTTAAACAGGCGTGGTAGTTTTAAACAGGCGTGGTAGCTTTAAACAGGCGTGGTAGTTTTAAACAGGCGTGGTAGTTTTAAACAGGCGTGGTAGTTTTAAACAGGCGTGGTAGTTTTAAACAGGCGTGGTAGTTTAAAACAGGCGTGGTAGCTTTAAACAGGCGTGGTAGTTTAAACAGGCGTGGTAGCTTTAAACAGGCGTGGTAGCTTTAAACAGGCGTGGTAGTTTTAAACAGGCGTGGTAGTTTTAAACAGGCGTGGTAGCTTTAAACAGGCGTGGTAGTTTTAAACAGGCGTGGTAGTTTTAAACAGGCGTGGTAGTTTTAAACAGGCGTGGTAGTTTTAAACAGGCGTGGTAGTTTTAAACAGGCGTGGTAGC